CACTGAGGATAGGATCTGCGCTCGATGACGCGTTCCTAAACCTCTCGTCTATAACATGGCCGAACCAGCACTCACACTGAGGATAGGATCTGCGCTCGATGACGCGTTCCTAAACCTCTCGTCTATAACATGGCCGAACCAGCACTCACACTGAGGATAGGATCTGCGCTCGGTGACGCGTTCCTAGTAGGAACTTCCTACACCTCTATCCATTAATACGGCCAACAGGATCTTCCTAGCCTTCAGTAGTACACTTGTGCTGTCAATGTACAACTCTCAAGGCGCTACTCGACCAATTATGGCCTTTAAAGTCAACGAGCATGTAGGGTAGAATGTGTTGGTCATACATCCCGACGGATCGACTACCGAAAGATCCTAGGAAAGAAAAAAAACTGTCAGTTACTAATAATTTTCCTTCGGAATCCTCGGGGGCCTATTTCACAAGAAACGCTCCTTAAGGTGCACCTTGGATTTAGGAGCAAGGGGCAAGAAGCCTTACACCTTACGCGAGGTGCTTTCACTACAGTTGCACCTCATGCTCCTTATGCTCCTAAATTTAAGGTGCACCTCGTGAACCCCAATAAGGAGCACGAGGAGCACCTAAACAAACGCCGATGCGCATGAAAGAGTCGACGCAGTGCTTCAATGAAGCTAAGGATATGGTTATTGCCATTGGATAAAACAAACTCGAAAACTTTACCATCAACTCATTTGAGCGCAATCGGTCATGACCGTAGATCGCTGAAACGGAAAGTCGAGTATGCGGTAAAAATGCATGGTTCGGGGATAGATCATCCGCGGGTGAGACGCGCGGGCTGTCGGGAATAAGCGGATCGAAGCTCGCATAAAATGGTAAGGAGGGTGCGATAAGGTGCGTCAAGTACCCCCCGAGCAGTCTTACGGCACCTTACGTAAGGATCGCAAGGAGGGGCCTAAAATGCCTCCTATGAAATCGCCTTACATGAGGAGGCCCTCCTTGCACCTTGTAGGGTAAGGAGCCTTAATCACTTCCTCTGGAAGTGATGTCATTCATGATACCTTCATAAACGCTATATGATGTATCGCTGCGTTGTTGTTGTTGTTGTTGTGTCTGCTGTAGAATGCTGTGGTGTTGTGGTATTGCAAGGAGGGCTTGTCACAGGGTGGGGGATATGCGTAATATGCATTGCATATGGTTGAACATGTTTGTTGGTGATAGTATGGAAACTCTGAGGCAATAGCTGATAGTCAAGTGTCAACTTGATGGTGAATACTCCATCGTAGTGAGTGCGCGCATGTCTGATAATGTCCGAGATGAAACGGTATCTCGCCTATGGGGAAGGCGGAAGCCTACTGCGGACTATACAGAGGAGATAGACATCAGTCGGGACCGTTTCCCGTAGGCTTCTACTACTACTACTACTACTACTACTACTACTACTACTACTACTACTACTTCTACTACTACTACTGCGGGTCTGATTCAGGTATTGTATAGTATGGACTCAACTACCGGTCTTGTCCTGGCTACTACCATTCATTGGTCATGTGGGGATATGTGACAGTGGAGGGAAAGTACTCTTCGGGAACCTAGTTCGAATGTCCACACCGATATTCACCATGAGTTCTGGAACCGCATGCCGAGGAAGAATCGTATTATCAGGTACACGACTTTGCTGGGCCATATTATGTATCGGTAGACAACATGGCCTTCGCAAGACCAAAGAAGTACATGTTGATGTATCCTGGGGATCGCGAACGTGCAGTGTGGGACGAGGCGGTAAGAGACTAGCCTTGACGAGAGTGGGAAAATGTACCCATGGGCAACTATTTTGGTTTTAATATCAGAATTCTGAGGAAGATCTTGTTGGTTTTCGTACACTAGATCGTGTATGAATGCCTATAATATAGCTTCGGAAACTCCTGAACTCAGCTGATATATCCAAACACCGGTCTTCACATATGGCGACTACTCATCCACTCAGATCGATTTCGGAGACACCGTTTTTCGAGAGCGAATGCATAACCTGTTTTGCAACAATTGTCATCATCATGTACCACCGAGCGCATGTGAACGATCTTCGTGATGGGTTCCTCAGGTCGTCGCTTGTCTCAATCACCTCCGTTACGGGGGAGTACGAAACTGGAATCAGTTCGCCCTCTGCTGGCTCCTCATGGTTAACGGCCATGATGTCTCGTGGAAGGCCACTGTAGGATGCGCTGAAGTGGTAGAGTCTCAAAGATTCATTTCAGGTCCAAATTTGGGCACTATTCGTCTCCATCGTAGTACTGATATTGTTGTTTGTTATCATTGGTATCGTATGATCAATCTTACTTTTTGCGTAAGTGCATCATATCCTTGTTATAAAACGCAAAAATGGAAGCCATATCAAAGGAGTACAGATCAGAGGGGTTTGCCAGGGACCAGCAGAATATATTAGTGCAGATATCGATCTCAAGAAATGGCAACTGTGGAACAATAGGGAATCTAGCGGTTACACATCAAGGCGAGCGATATACGAGGTATGCGTCAAATATCTCTTCACTGGTGGGTCGCGATGGTGTTCAACCGCGAATATCTCTGTTATACAACGCGATATCTGAGGTGATGCTGTATTCAATGCTAGCATATACTCGTAGTCGGATCCTTGAAACGGCTCGGGCGCGGCGAGATTTACACCGTCCCACATAATCGTTACTCAGCTCAGTCTGAAGGTCTCTTCATTCTCAGACGCTATAGACTTTCTATTACTCCATTTGCGTTCAGGCTAACGTATGTTGGACATCCCACAGGCACGATTGGCCATCGTATAGTCAGCTTAGCCAGGTGGAAACAGGTTTCAGCTCCCTCCTTGGGCTCCCCCTGGTGTACGATGGAAGTCATTGGAAGCCTCCGCGATCTTCAAGTGCGAGTCCTATCGGGAAAACCCGTGATGATAACAGGAATTATCATATTAATCAGTGCCGGTTCTTATGCTGTAAAAATGCTCTGATACAATCATACCACACTGTAGCCGTAACTCATCGCTACTGTAGGTTTATACGTTCAACTGGCTTGACCACTGGGCGACCCGGTTGCAGTTTCCGCTCATATGTACTGTATTAGTGATTGTTCTCCACTTATCACATGTATCAACAACGATTCCTCGAGTCAATGCCGTCCCCGTACGAGGCCCCCACCACCTACGATAAGACCAAGGTAGGCGTTTTACGCTCCACTGACGGTGAGGGTTGGTCTTCATCTCAGCTGGATAGCATCAACACGGCTGGAGGAGCCCCCGTTCAGCCAGTTGTAGCTACTATACTCGTCATCATCATCATTACCATTGTCAGGGTTCGTACGCCACTCGTCTATCCTCTCGGGCCTTACCATCGATCGCCTCACCATGGTTGGCAGCAGCAGCAGCATCACCACATAGGCCGTTACAGTGTATTGAACCATCCTTGTAGTCTCCTGGGTTCCAATCGGGAGCCATTTTCCTACCATTAGTCACCAAACCTCCTCGGCCTTCGTACCCACGGCTCCTGTAGCAGCGCCGATGGTAATTGAATTCTCTTATGGACAGTTCGAACTCCATTTCAGGGTTTTCCTGGTCACACATCGAATTCGCACGTGAACGGCGAGGTTGAGAAAGATATGAACTGGCGAGTTACCGAGACGAAGATGCTCAGCTTACAGATTGACTTCCTCAAAGGGGAGTTTCAAATCAATGGTTTTTTATTGGAAATACTCATCACCACGGTTTACCATCGTTCGCTTGAGGTTCACCTCTTTATCTCCATCTCGACCATCCTACTACTCCTGGGGAGACCGGCCTCCGAGTGTGGGACGCCGGCATTTGCATGGCTAAGTCAGTTCGCTTCATTGTTATTGTCCTTATATCGGTCTCAGATACATGGAGAGTAAATTAGAAGGCATCCGTAGGAGCAAAAACGCTGGTCGGCTGAAGATCCTCGAGCTTGGCTGCGGCAGTGGAGTGGTTGGTCTATCATGTGCACTGACATCTACACCTTGTGATGTTATCTTATCCGATAGGGCGGTTATCAAACCACGGACGGAAATGAACGTGAGATGAGCGATACGTGTTGACTGATAGTCATTGCATACAGATTGATGCCAATTTAAAGGCTATTGCAGGCGGCCGAGGCAACAGCTGTTGTTATAAGGTAACGACGATGATCAGCTCGTTATAGTGATGAATTCAATATTCGCAACGATCTGAGGCAGGCTTGCAGATCATTGATGTTATCGATCAGGTGATCGATTGGAGAGACCTCGATAATTCAGATTATGATTGGGGAGCTCCTCCTCCTGACCTGGTCATTGCCAGTGACGTCCTTTGGTCGCATGTAAAGCCTCTGTGAATGCTAGACTCTACACACAATCCCTTAGGTATTCGTGAAGCCATTCGTAGCCACACTGCTAAGAGCTTGTCCACAAGACGCCTCCACCGATCTGTACATCTGTCAGAAAAGTAGAAGCGTCAATTTGGACGATCTATGGAAGAAGGAAGTGGCCGAACATTTCGAGGTCACCTATGAATCTCACAGTGATTGATTTCGGATGTTACTATCGTGTCTTCAGTTATTAGACACCTGCTGTACTAAGGACGTCCTCCCAGCGGAGTACCATCACCCGAACATCCACGTGTACCACTACAGGAGGTATCACGCGGGATCATCATGGACGAGCGTCAGTCGTGACAATGTCTAGACGTTGATGGCTGTCTAGACTTATGGCGAATATGCATGTTTTCCAGCAGAACTAGCTTTCAGAGTTTGAGTTCATCCGAGTGCTTTGAGACGTTGATCCGGGGATCGTTAGTGACAACATCGGAAAGTGAAGCTCGTTTAGTGAACGTCCTAGTTTGCTTGGGCATGCCGTTACTTGATGTGGGAGTGCGACGGAAGGAGAAATCACCATGTCAAGACTAGCTCAACACCTGATATGAATGGGCAGTCTGAGGCTACCTATTTGTAGTTCGTAAGGACGATAGAGTCTCGAGGTTCTTCAGTATCGCCACTGTGGAGCCTATGAGTTCCCACTAAGGTGAATTCACCCTGGATTCTTGAAAGAAGTGACATGCGGCCGGCCTCCGCCATGTGCCGCGCATTCCCAAATTGGCCGCTCTTGCACTGAACACTACTCCATGGATATATACACACATCCTTAACATGAACAACTCATCCCACTCCATATCACTCTTCCGAATCTTTCCCTCTACTGAGGTTAATAAGATATTCGTGGAGCAGTCGCACGCGAGAGTTTGTCTTGAGGTAAGTGGCTACTTTCTTACAAGAGCGCGAGTCAACACCCTTACGGAGTAGCTTCGTAACTGGCTGTAAGATTGAGAAGAATGGATGATCGCCAGGCGACTGAACAGTTCGCGCTCTTGTAACGTATTGAGGGATCACTTGATCATTTTTCGCATCCAAGGCGAATACTCTGTAACGGAACTCGAGAGTACCATCACCACTGACAAAAGGAAAGGATGGAGGCCAACCAACACGGGCGAAGATATCATGAAGGGTAAATCCGTATTTCAAAACAATATTTTCATACTCAATGTCAACGGAAGTGAATAGCTTTGCGAACGATGAACCGCAGGAAACCGAGTAGGAAAGACTGATGAGTGGAAAAGTGAATGGCTTAGGCATGAGTAGTTGATAGGAGGACCTACCGGTATATAGCTCGGGTCACGCCGGAGTCACTCTTCAAACTAGCTTCGATAGAGCTCCCTTGAGGGGTGCTAGCAGGACTGGCTCTGAGTGTTACCTCAGGATCTCCATACTCAATGTTGCATGTCTTGGAGAGGCCATCTTGCGCGATGGTAACACTTGGCGACGACTTGATGGCTACCAGCGGAACCAAAGAGACATAAGTGATACACCGGAACGAACA